ATATTGTGTTGCTCCTTAAGGAGAACAATTTTACAACTTTATATAGCACATATAAATTGCTTGTTTTGATTTGTTTAAATGAAAATAAATAAATAAATATGAAGGATATTTGGTGACGGATGAACATATCTATTTTCACACTAGCAAGTTTGTATTGAAATTCAATGTTTTGCATTGTGAATAAACAAATCTTCAACATGGATTTCTATAGTGGTGTAAATTCTACATACAGATATAGCTCAATATTGACGAGTGTTAGCTAATCGTTTACCCATTTCCCTAATGCATTGCCTACTTTACCATCCACTTAAAAATCATTAATATTGTGTCTTTCATGTATTCATTTGCCTCCTCTTGTTGCTTGTAATATAGATGGTGCATAATATTGTACTAGAGTAAGATTTATAGACACAATTTCATATTATGTATCATATACTATCCTATATGTTGTTAAATTGTTTTTTTGTCCCATTTCATATTCCCCCGTTTCATATTTTACCAGACTAAAATTTATGTCATTAAATTGTTTTTGTCCACTTATTTTATATTATGTTAATATTTTAGTAGAATATTGCTCGTTCCTGAAGAGCACAATTTTATAAGATCTAGACCATGTTTGGTATCTATTAAAATTTAGATTTTAATCTAAATCAAAGTCAACAATTAATTTTATCATATATTAGATGGGTTCCACACCTTTTTAACCTCACATTTTATCAACTTTTATTAAAATCTATTAAAAATCTAATTTTAATCCTTACCAAACAGGGACCTAATATTTTATATGCTTTGAAGATCAAATCCGTATAATGCAACATTTTAAATAATAAAATATTATTGTTAATGAAGAAGCACAACGCATGTTAATATTCTAAAAAAATATTGCTTGTTTTTGAAGAGAATGGCATTACAAATACAAGTTTTAATATTCTTCGACAATATTGATATATTTTTCCTGAAGAAGAACTAGTATAAATTTACCGACATTTATATGGGAGCTTTCTATTAGAATTCTATCAGGTTAATAGTGGATGTTGTATCGTAATATAATGTTCGGTTAAAATAGTTGTTGGACGAATTGATCCATGCTCATTGTGGTTGAACATAATAACGAGTTTTGAGTAAATATGTGAATCCCGCTCTAGTAGTTTTATTCTATTTTTTGAAGTGAAAGTTACGTGAACATGACCGAGTTTGAAAATTTTCGGCATCATCCACACATTATGAAGAAAATAGAAAATTTTCTCAAACCAAGATATGTGTTTGAAGGTATGGCATAGAATGACATTGATCACATAACCGTGGTACGTTCAATTGTTTAGTTTAACTTATCTCAACTCTGGAAAGGAGAAATGAATTTTAAAAAAAATAGAAGCTAACATTAGCACCTCATCAAATTGTCCTGAAAATTTTTATTCCTTAGTGTTTCGCGCGGGTTATCGCTAACAATTAAAAATAGATTCAGATAATTGTGTAAGAAACAAATCTCTTAAGACAAAGTTCCAAACATGGATGCTTTATTTAAGAAGATTACAATTGGGAAGAAACAAAACGCATCCAAGGGGCACAAACACACGAAGTAAATTGAAAGTTTACACTTAAAAAATAAATGAATTGAAATTACATATTCTCTGTTGAGAGTGATTGATTCGGAGTCTCTCCTTTTATGTCTTCTTTTCCTTTTTATAATCATTTGCTTGTTTTCTCTTGTAAAACTGTTTGGAAACTGCTTAGCGCTCTATAACTACCAACTTTCTTCGTGATGGCTTACTTGTCAATGAACTGCTGTTCGCAACTGTTGCTATTGCTATTGTTGTTTAACCTTTTCTAATCGAGATTCTAAGATCGTGGAGTGTGATAAGGTTGCTCAATAACCGCTTTGATAACCGTCGTTTTAAGTAATCACAAGACACCGTACTCGCTCAAATCTTGAACGACTCAAAGGCTTGGGCGAGAATGAGATCATCGCTCTGGGCGACAGTAAGACGCTTCATTCACTCAGATCCTAGACGTCCTGCAGGCTTGGCGGTAATAGTACCTTGTTTATAGGCCTCCACTATATTTTACAATGGTCTCATTTGAACCTATATCTTGAACTCCCTAACCGGTCTCCAATTCTTGGACCATTTAATTGGGCTTTATTTCATTTTTTGTATGTCAACAATTACCCCCAATATGGCAGAATTAATATCGATTATTAATTTTTGTCATATTCTTCCTTTTTAATTTCCGGCAATACTTGAAATCCCTCAAAAGTGCAAAGAATTTCAATCATTATTTCCGTTTGGCGGTAACCCTTCTACAACCTGAAAAGTGTAACGTTACACCCCTATAACCCAGAAAACATGCCACTTCATCGCTCCACTACATTCACGTCTTTACATCGTGCTTCTCTATAAAGGTCATTGTTCATCATCTTGCATCTTTGCTATGTTTCTCAAGAACTCTCCACAACTACTGCATTTCATTGCAAAATGGTGACTTTACAAACTCTTTCCGATATCTCCATCAGTTTTGAGGATTTCCAAAACCTCATTTCCAAACCATATGTAAATCCAAGCTTTCTTTCACAAGCACGCCCTGATCGCGATGAATTCTACCTGGGTCCGTCATTTAATGATGCTGAATCTATTGGGCAGGCGACAGTGGGTCAGCTGTTCCCTTGTACTCAAAACCCTCATTTTTTGAACTCTCTGCCATTGAAGCCAATCCACGAGAAAGGTATTCGCACTTGGCCTAAAACTGATGCTAGTTTTCGTAGATGGCATGCACGCATGGTGAATCATACCCACCAAAGCGATTTTTGATCGTGCTAAGATTTCTAACTCATTAGAAATTACTATCCATCCCCCAATTTATGACCTAGTGCTTTTTCCTATTGCTCTAAGTTTTTGGTCTTCTGAGTACAATACTTTTGTTTTTTCCCTTGGCCTAATGTCTATTACCCTGAGGGATGTTGGAGCCCTAGTAAACCTTCTACCTTTGGGCAACACCATTTTTCCTGGCACCTTGATTGCTAGTGCTGCCCCAAAGTTTGACAAAAAACTCACTGAGTCCTATTCAGACATGCAAGGCCTTTATACTGCCTCTAGTTCTAAACCCTCTCACGTTGAGCGTGTGGCTATTCTTCAGGTCTGGCTTTGTAAATATGTCCTTTGTGTCCTCAGCCTGAAACCTTCTATGAGTTATCTGCCCATAGTGCATGAGTTGGAGCGTGGCAAGTCTTTAAATCTATGTTCATTCTTTTTAGCCACATTTTATAGAGGCATGACTTTCCTTCAATTTCAATTAAAGAATGATGCGTTTCCCACTGGCAGTGGGTCCCTTTGGCTCGCTCAATTGTGGTTGAGAGCATATTTTCCACAGCTTGGTAATCCACCATCCCCTCCACGATCGGTCAATTGTTATAGGTTATTCATCCATCAATTGAGCCCTGTAGATATGTCTAATAGGGATGTTTTCACATTCTTTTACAATTTGAATTCAACACCTTCCTTTTTCCCTTTTTCTTCTTACCAAGTCCCTATTTATGTGCGACCTCGTTCTACTCTGGCTGAAGTAAGCACTTTCTTGCCCATTTGGGCACAATTCTTGATTGGGAGAGAATTGTTCCATGACATCGTAACTAGAACAAATGCCAAGACAGGGGTTGAGATATATGCTCCCCAATTTGTTGTTCGTCGCTTGATTTTGGCCAAATGTGGCCAGTTCATCATAGAAATTTAACAAAACGTTTCCATACTATAAATAAAATCGAGGCACAAGTCATTGATGCCCGTAATAACTTTTGACCAAAGATTTTTCTTTGATTCCTTTCAATCCCACTGCTGTCACTCATTCTATTTTTGACCAACTCTGGCCATCAGTGAAACGTAGGCTGTTTACAACTGATGCTAATCTTGCATTTCACTTGCTGGATCGGCCAAAGACTTCCTCTACTTCTCATATTCTGGCCACTTCCATGTCCATTAGGGATCTCATTTCTTATTCTCACTCGCCACCTATTCGTGCTAAACGTCCTATCCTTCCATCTGGTTCCCCACCTACTCAAGGTAGTACAACTAAAAGTGTTCCAGTCGCAAACGGCCAGCCTCAGCTTCACCAAATTTGCAGGACGATGATGACGATGATGATGATGCTCCTCTCATCCTCAGGAGAAAGGTAATTGAGTTTGTTTATTCGTGAATAATAATCCTTCATGGGTTAATGCTTTACCTGATTTTTCTCAAAAGAGTTCAACTTCTCCTTCGAAGGCTCTGGTCTTAGCAGAAACGGCTAGCCTCAACTTCTCCAATTTTGCAAGGTGATGATGATGATGATGTTCCTCTCATCCTTAGAAAAAAGGTAATTGAGTTTGTTTATTCATGACATACAATCCTTCATGGGTTAATGCTTTACCTAAATTTTCCAGAAGAGCTTAACTTCCCCTTCGAAGGCACTAGTCTTAGTAGCTCCTGCTCCATCGCCTTCTGCTGAAGCTTCTTTATCCAAGTCATCTGATGCAGGGACTCTGCTTAAAGAGAAATTTGTAGTCCCAGAGTCTTTACCACAGCTAGTTGAAGAGCTGCCATCTTCCCAGGGCGTTGACCCCCCACGTGTCGAACCCGAAGGTAATACATATCTTAATATCTTTACCCTTGCTTGTACTATTGGCCCTCGACTCATTGCTTCTTGAATTTTGAAGAGGTTCCCATGGATCTACCCATTGTGGCAGAGCCTGCTCGTCCACATAAGGGAAAGTCTCCACAGGTGGCTGAGTCAACCAGTGACGTGCCCGAACTTTCTAAAGTTGCTGATAAGGTAGCATTTGTTTCATTTTTTATCTTCACTTCATTTACTGCAGTGAAAATGCTAAATGCTTGCATTTTTCTTTACATGATGCTGATACCATCGTGCCCTCCATCCAAGACTTGTTCACTTCTTAGGAACAAGTAAAGACATCTCGCCCTTCTTTAACAAGTCGTCCTCTTGCTTCATCTATTGCTTTCTAGGAAGAAAATATGAAGACTCTCAAGCAATCAGTGTTTGAGTATATTTCTTTTATGGACATGGATATCGACAAAGCCAATGCTGCTAAACAAAGAGATAAATTTGAGTTTTTGAGTGCGAAAATGGTACAAACACTTAAACTTCATTCGCTCAACATTTCATCTGACTTTAAGGCGACGTTGAAGATTATCCATTCTAAAATCAGCTCTTTGTTAGCCAAAAATGTCGAGTTGAAGGCCAAGAGTGCTCAATATCTTCATGATGTATCTGAAAAAGAGTCTTTGCTTCAAGAGATTGATAAAACTAAGGTCGAATTAAACAAAATCTCCTCTAAAGTTATGGTTGAGGATTCCTTGATGATAAGCTTAGCTCTAGAGATAAAGGAACTTCAAGCAAAGATGAACCACTGTAAGGCTAGATTAGCTGCCGAAGCGTAATGCTTCCCAAGGAATTGAGCGNGCCAAGAAGCGTAATGCTTCCCAAGTCTTTGGTTGAGCATTATACGAAGCTGGAGGTTGACGAGGATGTTGCAACTGAGTTGCCAGCTGTTTCCTCTAAGCAAAGCGAGGAATGGGAGAAACTTAGGGAATAAATGTGTATACTTGGGGTAAACTATAATTAAGACATTGATGCCTTTATTTTCCTTGTAATTTTGTGCTGGCAGCTACTGTTAATTCGAATGTAACGACAGCCAATGTCATTAATAGAACGATTATTTTATTTATTTGCGCAACAACTGACGTCTTCTTCAATCGTCAACCTCCCAAGCATTTAATCACCTCGTGCTAAACTCGTGTACATTTCCCCTCATGGAATTTTTACACGGAGCAAAACTTTTGGTATTCCAATCTTCTTTTCCAAGATTTTGGGCCATTTAATTTCAGTTACTATGCATGTAAGCGACCATTCATATTCCGTCTTTTCACCTTCACACCTCTAATTATCTTCATCTTCATCCTCCACAAAATCAGCTTACTTGTCATCGTTTGGCATTTCAGATAATTAACCAACTATTTCCTCCTGCAACAGGAATGGATCATTTGATTTGTTATCCATTTCGCTGTTTGTCTTGATATTATCTTTGGTATGGGAGATATATGAAATATTCTTTGACCAATGAAGGTATTCTCAAAGCCTCCATTTATGTTCTCCAGATGGACTTCTTGATGGAAGGCGATTTGCAAGTGCTTCTCAGGTCACTTGCCTATGAAAGTGCTTCTCAACCTTCTTACTTTCCATTGCAGTAATGCAATTAGGAAGGCGGTTAAAGCCAGTTCGCCCTTTTCTTTGTGATTGATAGAAGAATGTTGACAACATACTCCCAATTGCAGCTTATAGAGCATCTTATATTTTATAGCTAATGATTTGTAACGAACATTTGATAATAAAAGAGTTTATTTGAACGAACTTCATTCTTGTTTTATTTAGTCATGATCTCTCAGCAATGCCATTTATTTATACCTTTATTTGTTCACTTTCTTATAAGGAAGGAACATAACTTTTTAAGTATTTGCCATTAATGAATCTTACGTGCTTAGTGCCATCTAAATCTTCCAAATAATAGGCTCCATTAGGCAATACGCTTTTCATTTTATATGACACTTCCCAATTGGGCGACCATTTTCCATACTTTGGATCTTTGCTATCCAAATGGAATATTGTTTTCCAGACTAATTTACCCAGACTAAAAGATTTGGCTATAAATTTTTTGTTATAAAAGTTAGTCATTCTTTGTTTTTGAACTTGCAATCTATCTAGGATATCCAACTTTAATTCGTCCAACTCCAATATGTTTTGGGCTAACAACTAGACATACTCACCATCACTTAACTTGTGTTGCAAACACACTCTGATCAATTGCACATTAATTTCCATAGGTAAAACAGCCCCATGTCCGTAAGTAAATTGAAAAGGAGTAACTTTGGTACTTAAATGAAGCGACGTCACGCAAGCCCATAAGGCTTTATTTAAACATTCGTGCCAATTTCTGGTATTTTCATTTATTATTTTCCTTATGATATTTTTTAGAATCTTATTAGAAGATTCTACCTGTCCATTAGATTGAGCGTAATAAGGTGTGGAGTTTACTAACTTAACTCTAAACTCGCTCAAGAATTCCTTCACTTGATCTCCATTCAGGGAAGTTCCGTGATCCATCATCAAAATTTGTGGAATTCCAAATCTATAAATAATATGGTCACGAATAAAATCTATGACACCTATTTGAGATATTTCTTTAAAAAGTATCGCTTCTACCCATTTAGTGAAGAAATATGTTGCAACTATCATAAACGTATGTTGTTTGGACGATGGAGGATAAGTATTCCCTATCAAGTCTATCGCCCAACCTTTAACCGGTCAGGGTTTAATAATGGGTGTCATTTCTCTTGTTGGTGCTCTTTGTATTGGACCATACTTTTGGCATGCTAAACAACTCTTTGCATACTGAATGCATGACTCCCATTTTAGGCCAAAAGTATCCACTCCTAATAATCAACCATCTCATCCTTTGGCCAGCTTGATGGGCTCTACATATCCCTTCATGCACTTCAACCATGATCATTTTGACTTCTTACAAACTCACACATTTTAGTAGTATACCATCTGAGCGTTTCTTGAATAGCTCCTCATTTATCAACACATAATTTAACGAATGCAATTTCATTTTCCTACTGCTTTCCTTATTAGGTTATTTCAAGAACCTTTCAATCTCTATCCTCCAATTTATTGCATCTCCATTTTATATGCAATGAACTTCAATTCTCCTCGCCATCCTTTGTATTACGAGCAATATTACTCCATACTCACATGTAGATTCCAATTTAAAGCTTTTGAATAACCCGAAGCCATTTGGGCTAATTCGTTTGCTATATCATTATATATCTTATTAACATATTGAAACTCTACTTGGTCAAATTCTTCCAACAACTCTTGGGCGATTTCATATGACTTATGACATAATCACTTTGGCATTTAAAATCACCAATCAATTGATGAATTATCAATTGAGAATCGCCCATAATAATCACATTCTTCACCCCCATATCTACTAACAGCTCTAAACCCACGATCAATGCTTCGTACTCGGCTTGATTATTAGTACACATCCTATCCAAAGTGAAAGTAAATTTATAATAAATTCCTAGGGGATTTATCAAAACTATACCTACCCCCGCACCTCTAGAGGTTTTTGATCCATCAAAGTATAAAATCCAAGGTTTTAATTCAAATGAATCGATCTCCAATTCAATCTCCTTAGGCATGTCAAGGCATAGATGATCGGCCAGAAAGTTAGCAAATGCTTGATTTTTTACTGCCTTTTGAGGTACTTATTGTATTTCGAATTTTGACAGTTCTAAAGTCCAAAGGTCTATCATCTGGTGTAAAATAGGGCGAGAAAATATATACTTGACTAGATTTACTTTAGAAACTAAATAGACGATTACAAGCCGTAAATAAGCCCTTAATTTTGTACATGTGAATATAAAGCAAGACATAATTTTTCAATATCGGAATAATTACATTCATATTTTGTTAACCGTCTACTCAAATAGTAAATCGCCATTTATTCACCAAATTGGGCTTTTTGCTCGTAACCATGCTAGCTATCGATTCTTGTTCAGCTAATACGTACACTTTCATTGGCCGTATTTGGATTGGTGACACCAATACTGGTGGACTTGATAGATATGTCTTCAGGCTTTCAAAAGTCTTTTGATGTTCTTCTTTCCAGACGAACTCGTCCTGTTTTTTCAACTTTAAAAAATGCGAAAAAGCTTTCGTTCGCCTTGCACAATTAGAAATAAAGCGCCTTAAAAATTTTACTTGGCCTAGAATCATTTGCAATTCTTTTTTGTTGCTAGGTGGTTTGGCCTAAAAATGGTATTTGCTTTATTTTTATCGAGTTCAATCCCTCTTTTGTGCACTAAAAAATCAAGGAAGTTTCCCGCATTAACACCAAATTCACATTTCAAAGGATTCAACTTTAGTTTGTATTGCCTCATTTGCTCAAATGAACATTTTAACTATTCAAAATGGTATTCCTCCTCAACAAATTTGATCACTATATCATTTACATATACTTCAAAAAACTTGCATATCATGTTGTGAAAAATCAAGTTCATTGCCCTTTGATAGGTTGCCCCTGCATTCTTCAAGCCAAAATGCATAACTACCCATTCAAAACATCCTAAACCCCATGGCATCTAAAGGCAGTTTTATGTATATCTTCTTCAACTATGTAAATTTGGTTGTCTCTTGAATATCCATCCATAAAAGTATACATCACATGTCCGACAGTTGAATCTACTAAAGAGTCTACCGTAGGCATTGGATTTTCATTTTTGGGCGTTGCTAAGTTTAAATTTCTAAAATCAATACACACCCTCAATTTACCATTCTTTTTTAACACTGACGCGATATTAGACAACCATTCGACATATCTGGCTATCCCAATAAAACCCACTTTTAACAATCGCTCTATCTCTTTCTTAACTTCAGGAAGCACATTAGGGGCAAAACGACTAGTAGGTTGTTTATGAGGTTTAAAATTTGGTTTAGTTGGTAATCTATGTTCTACCAAATTTTTATCTAAACCAAGTATATGTTCATATTCTTAAACAAAACAATCCTTATATTCTTTTAATAAAACGATTAATTTATTACTAACCTCTTGACTAAGCATCTGGCTGACAAATGTTGGGTGATCTTCCCATTCGTCGCCAATATTCACCCTAACTAAGGGGTCTTGTGCTCGCGCATGCCCAAGTTTGGTGATCCTCATTACCTCGTCGTCTAGGTTCCTTATGAGCACTTTATCTTCTAAGCAATCCACCTTGTTGACTTCTCGGCCCATATTTTGTGCCAACTCGAACACGACCAATTTGTCTTCCAATATCTTCAATGCTGTTTCTTTTCTCGTTTTGTCTTTACATTCTTTATTGAAAGCCATTAACTTGGCTTTGAAGGCCTGAATGTCGACCATTTGTTCTTGTTGCTGACAATTCATTTAAATTTCTTTGATTACCTTTTTTGCCAATTACTGGCTCTTCCAGGGCCACTATATTTAGCCTCATTTGACTGAACATTTCAGTAAGTACATCTACTGAAAATGGCTCTTGACTCTGTGCGACAATTTGAGTCTCTTCTCCATCTTGAACCACCCTGATAGGTCCATAATTTCTTTCGTACATGAATCTTTCCACTGAGTTTGCTTTTGTGACAAAGGGTTCATGGTCGGCCTACACTACTTCTGCTTCGCCCTTGTCATTCTAGAAAACCAAGCATTGGTCGAGCGTTGAAGGTATGCAATGAATTCCGTGGATCCAGTCCCTTCCTAGTAGCACATTGTAACTAGTAGGACTATCTATTACAAAGAAGGTTGTGGTCCTAGTAGTTGTCCCCACGGTTATGTCCAGTGACATTACCCCTTTAGCCGAAGTTGCTCCTCCGTTAAAGCTTGTTTGAATAACTTCCGTTGGGATCATATCGCTTTCTGTCTTTGCAAATTTCATCATCATCCTAGAAGGGATGATATTTATAGCTGTTCCATTATCAATGAGCACTTTCGCCACAGGTATACCATTGACTAAAGCCTTCACGTACAATGGCCTCAAATGCTTAGTCAATTTCATGGTTGTCTTTTGAAGATGACCTTTTCAGCTACATCTATTTTTACTTCCTGTTTATCTTTTGTTGAATCATCTCTTTATGACAAGTTAACATGCAATATTTCGCATCGAGTTTCTGCTTCTTGGATTTCTTTTTTACTTTTCTCTAGTGTTTCTTCTTCGATTACCCATCCTGTAGGGGAAGGCAATATTTTTGGAGGTGACCCATACTTCTTAGAGCGAGGTACTCTCATTTTCCTTTTAGGTGCCCCAAAACACATAGTAATAAAAGAAACGCCCAGATGGTTCTTCCAACAAGTCCACATCGCGAACACATTCTCGATGTAGTTGTTTCAACAACGTATTGCGCGACACTACCCTCTTTCTTCTCTCTAATTCCAAGTTAATTTTTCTTCGATATCCGTTATACCATCATTCTCTTCTTCATTATATGCCCCTCGAGATGTTTGGCCATCTTTACATTCCAGCACACATGCTTCCTCCTCGTTATCCTCCCTTTCTTCCTCTTCATTTTCTTTGTTTTTGAATTCATTGGCTAATAATTATTTATTAGCCATGACAGGAGGTAACGTACCGAACTGAATAGTGAGGGGTTGCTCTGGATCTTTCCCATCTTTATTCTATCGCTTAGACTTTGATCTCCCGGAGGAATTTTCTGGTAACTCCTCCATTGATTCACTAATACCAGTCTCTTTACTATCTTCGAGGACATTTTGGTTAGCCACTTCGAGCAATTTATGAAACCTTAGGACGAGGCAATTCTTGTTGTTGCCTCATCATTCATCCATAATTTTGTTGAAAATGTCTTTGTTGAGTTCTAGTCATCTCATTAAAAGGTATCACCCTTCCTGCATTATACTAGAATGAATGTCATACATTCGATTGGCGAGGTTGCGGCCTGAATTTCCTCCCATTATTTATTGGCCTGAACCGCCTCTCAAAAGGAGGCTCTCTATAGAATGATGCATCTCTCTCTCCAACAGGTTGGACATTTGGGATAAAATCAGGGCGATGGTGATGTTGCCATATTCCTGGTCTTTCTGTGTTCACATTCACTTCTCCCTTGCATCTCACACACAAGATGTCTCCGTCCTCTCTAGGCTCCTTCCCCTTGATACGTTCTAAAATACTAGGATGTCCAGAATCTTCTTCTCCATCATGTACAACCAATTTGAATCTTGGCAACTTGTTTTTGAAGCCAGTTGTCACCATATTCATTACAAGTGGCTGTGGGAAAGGATTTTCATCCACTGTCATTTTTTTCTTATCCTTGAACGTGATTCGCCCGGACTTGATAGCATCCTGTAACACATGACGAAAGACCAAGCAATTATTAGTCATATGTTACCATGCATTGTGCCATTTACAATATATTTTACCCTTAATTTGCTCAGGGTCTGGCAATTTATGCTTATCGTTCAATTTTATCTGTTTATCCTTATACAGTTTATCAAATATAAGGTCAGCTTTGGTCACATCAAATGAAAACATTCTAACTTTTTTATTTTCATCTTTTATAGGCTCATTCTTACCCAACGCTCTAGGTTTGGCCATCATGGGACAAACATACGCATCTCCTTTAATTAACGACCAAACATATTTCAGTTTGATCGTAATATTCGTCATTAATAGTATAAACGTCAAAATTTGGGTCTCTATAATAAGTCCCTATACTAGAGTTTTTCATTTGCTCTTCTTCTCTTATCAATCGTTCATACCTAATCACATTCGCTCTAAGTTAGAAAAGATTAGGAAATTCCCTGTCCTGGAATTTCTTTTTCAAATCAAAACTCAAATAATTTTGAGTGATTTTGATGAATTCTTTCTCTGGCGGAGGTACAAAACATTTGCTCCTGGCTGTTTTAAACCTTTGAAGAAAACCTTCTGCCCATTCATTTGGCATTTGACGTAACCAAGGTGACGTAAACAATGATACTTTGTGTAAGTCGGCATAATAACAGGACGTACCCCAAAAGCCATTTGATCATGTACTATTTCAATAATTTGATTCTTCAACATGACATTGAGATCATATGGAACTCATATAGGTTGGTTCATTGGTTGATTTACTTGAGGTCTAATATTTGGTCATTGGTTGACGACAAAAGTATCATTGTTTAGGCCATTATTACCGTTACCCTGAGTGTTTACTCCATCATTAACACGTGGGATGTTCTGTTCATTATTTAAGACATTGTCTCTTATATTTGGATGACCCCACAGGATTGACGTCCCATTACCATCATTCAAGTTTGGCACTGCACCACCCCCCTGGTTTGAAGTAGAGGGACCGAAAGATGGTTCTATTCCTTGACTTGGGTTCAAACCTGGGAAATTATGTACCACAATCGTCCTGATTTGAAAGTGATTCCCTATTGGTACAACTGGTTGACATATTTGNTTTTCTTTGTTTTTGAATTCATTGGCTAATAATTATTTATTAGCCATGACAGGAGGTAACGTACCGAACTGAATAGTGAGGGGTTGCTCTGGATCTTTCCCATCTTTATTCTATCGCTTAGACTTTGATCTCCCGGAGGAATTTTCTGGTAACTCCTCCATTGATTCACTAATACCAGTCTCTTTACTATCTTCGAGGACATTTTGGTTAGCCACTTCGAGCAATTTATGAAACCTTAGGACGAGGCAATTCTTGTTGTTGCCTCATCATTCATCCATAATTTTGTTGAAAATGTCTTTGTTGAGTTCTAGTCATCTCATTAAAAGGTATCACCCTTCCTGCATTATACTAGAATGAATGTCATACATTTGGTTGGCGAGGTTGCGGCCTGAATTTCCTCCCATTATTTATTGGCCTGAACCGCCTCTCAAAAGGAGGCTCTCTATAGAATGATGCATCTCTCTCTCCAACAGGTTGGACATTTGGGATAAAATCAGGGCGATGGTGATGTTGCCATATTCCTGGTCTTTCTGTGTTTGCATTCACTTCTCCCTTGCATCTCACACACAAGATGTCTCCGTCCTCTCTAGGCTCCTTCCCCTTGATACGTTCTAAAATACTAGGATGTCCAGAATCTTCTTCTCCATCATGTACAACCAATTTGAATCTTGGCAACTTGTTTTTGAAGCCAGTTGTCACCATATTCATTACAAGTGGCTGTGGGAAAGGATTTTCATCCACTGTCATTTTTTTCTTATCCTTGAACGTGATTCGCCCGGACTTGATAGCATCCTGTAACACATGACGAAAGACCAAGCAATTATTAGTCATATGTTACCATGCATTGTGCCATTTACAATATATTTTACCCTTAATTTGCTCAGGGTCTGGCAATTTATGCTTATCGTTCAATTTTATCTGTTTATCCTTATACAGTTTATCAAATATAAGGTCAGCTTTGGTCACATCAAATGAAAACATTCTAACTTTTTTATTTTCATCTTTTATAGGCTCATTCTTACCCAACGCTCTAGGTTTGGCCATCATGGGACAAACATACGCATCTCCTTTAATTAACGACCAAACATATTTCAGTTTGATCGTAATATTCGTCATTAATAGTATAAACGTCAAAATTTGGGTCTCTATAATAAGTCCCTATACTAGAGTTTTTCATTTGCTCTTCTTCTCTTATCAATCGTTCATACCTAATCACATTCGCTCTAAGTTAGAAAAGATTAGGAAATTCCCTGTCCTGGAATTTCTTTTTCAAATCAAAACTCAAATAATTTTGAGTGATTTTGATGAATTCTTTCTCTGGCGGAGGTACAAAACATTTGCTCCTGGCTGTTTTAAACCTTTGAAGAAAACCTTCTGCCCATTCATTTGGCATTTGACGTAACCAAGGTGACGTAAACAATGATACTTTGTGTAAGTCGGCATAATAACAGGACGTACCCCAAAAGCCATTTGATCATGTACTATTTCAATAATTTGATTCTTCAACATGACATTGAGATCATATGGAACTCATATAGGTTGGTTCATTGGTTGATTTACTTGAGGTCTAATATTTGGTCATTGGTTGACGACAAAAGTATCATTGTTTAGGCCATTATTACCGTTACCCTGAGTGTTTACTCCATCATTAACACGTGGGATGTTCTGTTCATTATTTAAGACATTGTCTCTTATATTTGGATGACCCCACAGGATTGACGTCCCATTACCATCATTCAAGTTTGGCACTGCACCACCCCCCTGGTTTGAAGTAGAGGGACCGAAAGATGGTTCTATTCCTTGACTTGGGTTCAAACCTGGGAAATTATGTACCACAATCGTCCTGATTTGAAAGTGATTCCCTATTGGTACAACTGGTTGACATATTTGGCTCACTAACTTATTCATGGTCTCATTTAACGTGTTTAGTTGTTTGGTTATGTTGTTATACTGTGTATTCCCATTTTGGGTAAATCTTTTCATATTGTGAATATTTCGCAGATTTACCTGTTTAACGACATCCTGTGTGAGTTCCCCAAGCAATGCGCGCATGGTTCGAGGACTCAACTCTTTCATTGGCTCATAGTAACTTTGACTGCTTTGACTCTATCCCTCTATTCGTGGAGAGCTTTGCTGCTCCTCATATCACTTGATCACAGACTGTACTACTCCTGGCTTGCTGGTTCTTTATCAGAATTCTTATGAGTCATAATATTTCACTTTTCGTATCCTCAAACACCAATTGTCCGACTGGACATGCCAAATTGTTTCGTGCGGGTTATCGCTAACAATTAAAAATAGATTCAGACGATTGTGTAAGGAACAAACCTCTTGAGACAAAGTCTCAAAAATGGGTGCTTTATTTATGAAGATTACAATTGGGAAGAAATAAAACGCATCCAAGGGGCACTAGCACATGAAGTAAATTGAAAGTTTATACTTAGAAAATAAATGAATTGAAATTACATATTCTCTATTGAAAGTGATTGATTCGGGGTCTCTCCTTCTATGTCTTCCTTTCCTTTTTATACTCATTTGTCGGTTTTCTCTTGTAGAACTGTTTGGAAATTGCTTGGTGCTCTATAACTACCCACTTTCTTCG